AATTCTTATAATTTCTTTCTTCCTCTAATGGGGCTCTTATTCATGAAGGGATAGAAAGCTCTGTACTCATGTGCCCTTCATGTATGCCCAATCCACGTTACTAAGGTAACTGCAGTGGGTGATAACTCAGCACTACCAGGGAGCCACATCTGCTTCTCAGGGTCACTCACATTTTACCTCTGCACTAGAGAGGGTAACTTGGAAAAATATGTTGGGTTATCAGGACTTTTTCCTAATTCCCTTTTCAAGTTAATGGTATGCATAACAGGCTATTTTTGAAGTGAATTGACATAAAGTAGCATTTGGGAATCAGGGATATAATACTTTATTTGCCCAACTCACCTTTTAACTGCCTAGTGGTGCTTCCTCTGGCACCAATGATAATAATAATAATAATAATAATAATAATAAATTAAACATAGATGAATGATATGGGATGATCTGGAGGAAATTAAGCATGATCCTTTCTAGCTTTTCACCAAAGCAGAGGAAGGATCCATTTCCAACTCTGTATTTCACTAGCTGTGTAACTTTGAGTAAACCATTTAACCTGGTAATTGATGAATAAATGTATTTTGCATGTGGTAGGCTTTTAGTGGTGAGGAAAAGGGTAAAGAGGAAGCCAGGTTTGTAGACATCTGTCTGTGATTACACTGCTTCTTCTAAAACCAAATGTTTCTATCTCAGATTTTATGTATCACTGCACTGCTCCAGTTGCCTGATGCTGTGTTCTTTTTGGCTGGCCTGTTTGTTTTGTTCATGCTCCTGTGATACTCAGGGTCTGGGAGTTCCATTTTAGGTTAGTGCACTAACCTGAAGACCTATAGTTTAGCATTGTTCGTTGGAAGGTACTGCAGCTGATTCTATTTAGCTGCTTTTTTTCTGGGAGAGTTACCACCTAAGCATCTAAGACAGATGCTCTTTGATTGTTTAAAAAACAAACAAACAAAAAACAAACAAAAAATCTTGGAGAACTGAACACTTTGGTCAAAATTTATAACTGAACAAAATAAAGCAGATTATTAGTATGGAGTTATCAGTAGAGCTTTTAAAAATCTGCCTAATTTTTCCGAGAATATATAGTCTAGATTTATGTTGTTTACAAATTACTTATTTAAATATATATATTCCTTTTTTTTCTGTTCCTTTTCACCCTCCCAGGAGAGTCATCAACCTCGCCTCACTGTTTAATTCTATGACAGAATCGTAGGCAAGAAGGATATAATTGGAAGGAACCTCAGAGATAGGCAGTTTGTTGTATGCATAGACTAATTTTCTGTGAAAATTTGGAGTGCTCATGTGGATTTTGTGGGTCTCTGTTTCTACCTTTGTAATATGACATCCAAAAGTCATTAGGTTCTGGTCCTGTTTAATGCTGACAGTTCTCTGTGACATAATAGGATTTGTTGAAGTTGAAGAAAATGCTCAGAAATCTTTTTTAATGTTGGGTATAAAGGAGACATAGGTCTGGATAGGACATTTGAACCTGAAAATTAGGCTGTGAACTAGAATTTGGTTGTCATGTCTCCATCAACTTTGATCTCCTTTGGTGATCACTTAAGATCTCATTGTGTGCATTCTTCTCATACATTATTATGACTTTTCAAAGGAGTTGGTGACAATTTTATAGATTTTATAATATTTTTTTAGTGCAGTGTTTGGCCAAATGAAGGTGAAGTGAGTTTCTTGGTCCTGGTTGTACACTAGAATCACCTGAGTTTTAAAGGAATACAGGCATCTGACTCTTCCTCCCCACTCCCCTCCCCTACCCCCAAGATCCTAATTGAATTGGGTGAGATGGAGTTTTGGCTTCAGTGTCTATAGAAAAGCTTTCATGGTAACTCTAGTTTGTAGGCAATGTTTAGAACTACTGGGTGGCATTAAGAAAGGTTTATGAGACTTATAATCCTAATAAGGCTATGAACAAAGTATTTCTTGAAATGAGTACACTCAGAAGGGTAAGAGAAGTAGAAATGTTTCTTTATGACACATATCCTTGAACTTTACTAATCCTATGGGGTTTAAAGTAGAAATAACAATGTGTTACTTTTGCCTAATGCAGTGTTTCTCAAAGTGTGGTCCCATGACCATTAGCATCAACATCACCTGGGAAGTTCTTAGAAATGCAAATTATTGGGTCCTACCCCAGACCTACTGAATTAGAAAGTCTGGGGGTGGGACCCAGTAATCTATGTTTGAATAAGAATTTCCAGAGATCCCAATGAACCCTAAAGTTTGAGGACCATCAGAGAGTTTTGTAGGAGTGAGAGGTAGTGGATGAACATCTTAGCATGTTGTGCATAGCAAGAGATCAAAAAGCAGAGTATTATAAAGATAGTGTTTGACTGCTTGGTAGTCTGATTATGGTGGGAAACTAGAGCTCCTAGACTGTTATTTACAGGGTAAATGGAGCCCACATGAACCATTTGAAAAATGTGTCAGACCAACCAGTCCAAGTTACCATCCTTCCACTGTTCAATTTTGACTTTCCTTTTTCTAAAGATCTAAGTTGTAATGCTCTGGTACTATCCAAAAGCAACCCACAGAGTGATAGCAACTGCTACCCCAGGACTAAGTGTTAAATTGCTAAAATATAAGGAAAAGCTACTTATCTATAAATAGAGTAAAGAATTTTCCCATCACATCTAAATATTGCTATTTATTTATTTATTTATTTATTTATTTATTTATGGCAACAGGTATTTATTTGAGATATTCAGGAAGCATATTTTAGGCAGAAGCCTAAATAATGTTTCAATTAGGAGACAATGGCAATGGTATTTATGAGAAAGGGAAGGGAAACAATTACATCAATGGAAGGAATGTGTTTCTATTGATGCAGATAACAACACATAGTGATGCTAATTCTAAACAATTTAAAATTTTCAGTGCCCTACTTATCAGTATGTGGTCATAATATCTGCTTTCTTGTTATCATTGAAAACAGTTCTTTGGGACACAGCATTGTTTAGGCACAGTGCAGAGGTTATTTTGCCCTGTTTTAACATTCTGAAAATTTGTGGCATAGGACCTGCCAGACAGTTCCTCCTGGATGGCAGCTCTGGCTCCATTTTAAAGTGGCTCTGTTGATATGATTTTTTTACATGAGGTTTAAGTGTTTGAAGTCATCTACTTTCTTTAGGCACATATTATTTGTCACCATATGCATGCATTTCTTTTGTAATATTCTAAAGGAATATCCCCTTTTTAAGAGTCTCCTCCCTCCAGAGTACCTAGCTCCCTGCCCAGGTCTGGGTCAATTCCTCCTTGTGTCCCCATCTCCCTGGCTGTGGCCTCTTGCCTCCTCTGCTCCACTCCCACCTCTTGCTTTCTTTGTCATCACTCTAGGCTTGAGAACCAACAGAGATCTCCCCTCTTCTTCTATACTAATGCTCCCTCCTCTGAACTTCAAAATTCAACTCAGACATCTCCTCCCCCAGGAAGCATCTGGACTCCTCCAGGCTGGCTGGGGACCTCTCCTCTGCATCATCATGGCTCCCATATGCCCAGAGCTCCTTGCCTGTTCCCTAATGTGTATGCTGTCCTCACTGGATGGTACACCCTGAGGGGCCAGGACTTTCACGGTCTGCATACAGCAGGTGTCTCATAAATGTGTGTAGAATGAACAAATCAATGAATGCACTCAGCCATCCTGACCTTCAAACCCTATTCATACATTCGACTCCTAGGATTATGCCTACTGTGCATATCTCTCTCCTTCTGTCCACACCTACCGGCGCATTAAAATATTATTTTTAAAAGATGGAGCAGGGGATAGGGGGAATAGATTTTGATGGAAGGAGACTTGACTTGGGTGAACATACAACAGTATACAGATGATGTGTTGTGGAGTTGTACACCTGAAATATGTTAACCAATGTCACCCCAATAAATTTAATATAAAGGAAAAGGACAAATAAAATAAAACAATTTTAATGGGCATTGTCTTTTCCTAATAGAATTTCTTGCAGAGTATTTAAAAAAAAGATTCTATACCATGAATCCACAGAGTTCTTGGATATATATTGACACCTCAAATCTTAGAGACTAGGCATATTCTTCCAACAACTCTATGTGCTGTGCTTGTTGGTCACAATGTTGGAGTTTCTTAGTGTCCTAAAGCCTCATTACTTCCTACCTGGACTGCATATAGATTTCCAAATCAATATTTTTTATCCCAAGTTTTTCAAAATTTGCCCTGCATGTAGTTTTTAGATTAGTCTTTAGTAAATCATATTGCAACCAAGCGTTTCCTTTTCAGAAATCTTGGATGGATCCTCATTGCATGCATGATAGAATTCAAGTTCTTTGCTGGTTGTACAACACACTTAAAAGCTTATTTTGTCACTGTTCTAATTTTTGTAACATACTAGTTTGTTTTACCTTTCTCTATGCTGTATTGTTACTTGCTCTTTGTTCTTTAGGCTCTAAATTTGTTTTTTTTAAAAATCCCTATTTCTTTATTCCTCTCTCTGTGTAGAGTGGACTTATTTTCTACATCATAATTTTCAAGAACAATTTAAATGCTCGGTAAAAACCTTCATTTCTCCACCTGGACACAAGCTTTCCTTCATCTTAGCTTCCCAGAGAGTTTGTTTGTACATCTTAATAAATTTCATCTTTTATTATCCTTACTTGAGTACTTATATTTTTCCTCCTTTACTTGAGAGAAAATTTGTTGTGAGTAAGAATCAAGTCTTATATACTTCAATAATCCACCACCCCAATGACCTTCCTTGTTCTGGTTAAATGTACCTGACCCCTATAGAGTAGCTTTGATGTCACTTAGAAGTATCAAATCTGGTCCTCAATCTTCAGAAAGTTAAGGCTACTAATTAAAGTGAGAAGAAGTAGGATAGGGAATAATTGTTATGCAAGGCAAAAGATCATGCCAATCGACATGCCAATTACAAGCAGAAAATGCCAGCTAATGTGTGTTTTGAAGAGTGCTTATAAGATTGCATCTATAGTAACTTCATGTTTGTGTTTTCTTTCTGTAGGTGATTTTCTTCCACCCCCACCTCCACCTCTAGATGATCCTGGTACTCTTCCATCTGTCTCTGGAAACTTCCCTCCTCCACCACCCCTAGATGAAGGTTCTTTCAGGGCACAGGTAAGATCTGTAGTTGAAGTCATGTTTATAATCCACACTAGGAAGCTCATGAATTCAGTGATTATTTTTGTGGCAGGTATACATTTATCCAGAGCCCACAGAGAGCTTTATGACACAACAAGCTAAGGCACCTTAATGCAAAACACCCAACTCAAGCTTCTCAGAGCTTGCACTCCCAAGCCTTAGAAATCCTTTCACCTACTCATTTGTTTCAAAACTGAAAGTCATGTTTTAGGAATGTCATTTGAGCAGTTCACATGTTCTTATTATCCTGGGGGCACACAACCATGTATTTTTATTGCCTTTTTTTCTTTATTCACAAACATTACATTCTACGTGAGTAAGGCTGATATTTTAAGGCTCTGGTTGGTCACTAGGTCCTAATTGGTCAGCAGTATCTTCTAGCAAGAGCAGCAGCAAATGTCTTTAGGATTTTCTCTTCTGAGTGAGGTTCACGATGCACATTACACAATGTATTGGTTATATACAACTGTCGTGCTCCAGAGACTGTTAATTGCATCTGGCTAGAGTAGGAAGCAATATTAGAAGTAGTTCTCAGCCTGTGATCATATAGGGGCATTGGTGACCACCTGCCACCACTTAGGCAGCCAAATGCTTTCTATTCATGTCAGGGAGGAAACCTAAATAACAAAATCAAATTATTATTGTTAGTTTTTAGGGGTGATGTGGTTACTCCAGACAGGGTGAAGAAAAACACACAGCAGTTCTTAACTTTTAGAGAAACATTGGAAATATTTGAGGAGAAATGAAATGGTGTTTGATATTTGTTTCAAAATAATAAGAGTAGGGGTTTAGTGAGAATATAGGTAAAAATAAGTTTAGTTATGAGTTGATAATTTTTGGGTGCTGGAGGTTTATTCTATTATTTGGTCTATCTTTATATGTTTAAATTTTCTCACAATAAGTTTTAAAGAGGAAAAGCATTAGGAAATAACCCTTAAATAGTTTGGTCCATTATCTACCTTTCTTTCACCTACATTTTGGGTTTGGGGGAGATAGAGGAAGAAATGATGCATTCATTCAATGAATTTTCTGTGCATCTGTGTGAGCACCCTAATACCACTAGGAATTCTACAACAAAAAAGACAGGGTTCTGCTTTCATGACACTTTATGTTAGTAAAACTAGGTAGAAGTAAATAAAATACATACAATATAAAGTACATTTGATTCGGATCTATTCTACGGGTTGAGGAAAGGATATGGGATACAACCTACCAGGGCGGACATGGTCAAAAAGACCTCACTGGTAAGGTGACACCTAAAGGACTTAGAGTAGAGAACGAGAGAACGAGTCGGCAAGAGTTTCTTTCTTTCTTTCTTTCTTTCTTTCTTTCTTTCTTTCTTTCTTTCTTTCTTTTGAGGGTTTATTTTTCATCTACTAGATCTTAGGAACTAGAAGATGCTTTTTTTTTAATTGATCAGTTGAAATTAAGAGTTCCAGTTATAACCAGTAAGCTTCAATTCAGTTTGGAGGCTAGATCTCAAAAGACTGTTAATTTTTTTTTCTCTGCCCAGCTGGCATGGCACAGTGGATTGAGCTTCATCCCATGCACCAAGAGGTTGCTGTTTCCATTCTGGATCAAGGCATATGTCTGGGTTGTGAGCTCAATCCCAGTTGGGGGTGTGCAGGTGGCAGCCAATTGATGTTTCTCTGTCATTGATATTTCTATCTTCTCTCCCTCTCCCTTCATCTCTCTCTAAAAAGTCAATAAAGCAAATTAAAAATTTTTTTCTCAGATATATGTTACAAACTCCTATACCTTATCTTATTTTAAGCTGGTAAAAATAGATCGTATTCTAGTAATGGACAGGAGTCTGACAAAGTTTATATTTATTTTATGCATCAGAGAGATCCCTTGCAAATAGAAACAAAATGATCAATTTCCCTTTTTCTTTTTGTAGTCATTTTTATTAAAATGAAAAGAAAAACTTTAAAGTTTGCCTTTTGTATATTTTTGCGCTTATTTTCTGTACGTTGATTCTTTGCAAATTTAATTTACTCAATTAAAAGCTTCACTTAGTCAATCTTCTCTGTTGAATCATTATGGAAACTTTTTTTTGTGTGTGTTTACAATCTTTATTTCTAAAAAGTTTGTTTGATTTTGTGACAGAAGACTTGTGTTTGAATAATAGTTGAGCAGCTTATTCCAGTTATGCTATTTTGAGCCGGTCACACTGAGGCCCAATTTCTTCATAATTAAAAATAAGGCAAACCTATCGACATCTAATAATTAAATGAAATACAGATGGACTTGAATTTCTAAACTAGTGGCTTTACAGATATTCTGATGCTATAATTATTACTATATAAAAATAATGACAGCAAGAATAATAGTAATAAGGCCTTGTTAAAGTGCTCCATTATGAGAAATTCGAAAAGTCCTAAAATTATAAAAAGTCTTGTTCTGTAGGGACTTGTCCTGATATCTGTTCTGAAACCACAACTTTGTTTTTAAAAAGGAAGGAAATAAACAAAAAGCCTGTTGCCATGTTGGCTTATGTTCTCTGCAAAACAGAAGGACGAATGAAAAAAAATAAAATTGAGTTTGCCAAATGGAAAAGGACAAATCTGGTAGGGAGAGGCCTGCAAATTCTTGAATATATGAAAGAATGTAGGTGCGTTAAAAAGGAAATGGGTGTGCACTTTTCTGTGGTTTAGTGACAGGACAGCATAGTGACTTGGCCCCACTCTGGCTCTATCTGTATCCCCCTTTAGATAGGAGCTATGATGTACCCTAAAGTCATATAGCCCCCAGAGACAATTTTATATTTTTTCTCTCACTGTATGGTGAAACCTCCTGTTGCCAAGTCCAAATTATAGCTGGTAGATGTGTGTTTTCCTGTAGAAGTCTGTTTATGTTTCCAGCCGAATTTTCAGGTTGGAGCCAAACGAATGTCTACTAAGTGTGACGATAAGAATGAAAAGATTTTCAGAGCTGGAAGGGACCTAAGAGATAATTTAGTCCATCCCTGCACCAGCCATCTAGCTAAGGCCTTTTGCAGTACTGGTCCTTGCTAACTGACTCCCTCTCTGTACAACTGGAAAAACTGAGACCAAGAAGGTGTAGATCATGTAGTTTCCGACTGAACTCTTAATGAATCTGAGAAATCGTGACTCTTGGATTTGTCCTTCTTCTCACTGGGTGCATGGTTTTGCTTCAGTCCTCTGTCTGGCTCTGAGGTTCAGATGAAGGGGTTTCCTGCTGCTGTTTGGAACGACCAGGTGCTGATGGAGTTCTGCTTGACTCACTGAATGTCTCATGTTTGCTGTAAACTTTCTTTTTCTTTGAAAAGGGCAAATAAATAGCATCAATAATTATTGTTTTGACAGTTCTCATTTTTATGGAAAAAGATGAGTCTTGGAAAACAAATGAGACATTTTCTGGTTGTTTCTGTCAGGATCGATTTGACCTCTGTGCCTGTAAGGTCTGGAGTGTGCATTTAGCAGTCACTTCATTCATTCACTATTCTTCATTGATTTGCAATAAATTGAATACCTTCTCTGACTCAGGGACATATATTAGAGATCATAATCTTAGAACTTGGCATCATGGATCTAGAGTTTCAATTGTGGGCCTGTTAGCTTTGTTCTGAGCTGATGCCACAGAACAAAGGGGGCTATATGACTTTAGGGTAATTTCTTTCTATTTAAGCAACAATTGGCAGGTAATAACATTGTTTAGAATAGTTTCAAAGGGGGGGGGGCAATGTGTCATAAAATTTCAGATTTGCAAGAGAATTAGAGGCCATAACTCAAGTCCCTTTCTGTTGTTAGAATCTCCTATTTTTTTTCTTCAATTTTGTAAAATGCTTATGGGTGACTATTATAGGTAAGGCAATATTGAAGGATGAGATGGATCAGTTAC